TTGCATTCTCGAATTAATTTGAATGCGCTCTCAATTAAATTTTTAGCTGAAATTTGGTATGAGTAAACTAGACTTGATGAATAAGATGCTCAAAAAATTTCATCAAAAAATTGCACCGAGAACCGCCCCAAATCGCGACGACCGGACAGAGTCTCCTATATAAGGACTTATATGTAAATATGGACTACTAATTCAGGGTACAACTCTTTTTTAAAATTTGTTATAGTGTTATTTAACACTACTAGAAAAATGCCTTACAGTGACACCAAATTAGTGTCACTGAAAGTTTCTGTGACACTAAAAAAGTGTCAATGAAAGTCAGGTTTAGTGACACTAAAAAAGTGTCACTAAAAGTGTCACAAAATTATGACACTATAGTATCACAAATGACACTAAGGTGTCACAAAACTCAATGACACTACGGTATCACAAAACTCAATGACACTACGGTATCACAAAACATAATGACCCAATAATGTTATAATACCATTATATTACCATACACATGATACACTGATTACAATAATATAACACATTAATATAATTTAATACTAATAAATAACCAAAATTTCAAATATTTTTTTTATATATCAAATTCTTACATAAATGTGAATGTACATACTACATAATTAAAACCTGCCCGCAAACAACAAATGATAAACAAGAATTAGTCACTGCACTTCATCGAGCAGCTATTTTAACTTGGAGGCAGCTTTCCTTTTTGGTGATGACACCATCCCCAAACAACAAATAATAAACATGAATTGGTCACTGCACTTGATCGAGTAGCTATTTTAACTTGGAGGCAGCTTGCCTTTTTGGTGATGAAACCATCCCAGAAATTCCCGAAACTTGCTTCATTACAGGGGAATGACTCATAATTTGACATCATGATGAATGGCTAACTTTTTAACCTGAAAATGGAAAAACCAAATATTCATGATGATGATTACTTTGACATCATTAAGAACAACCAAATATTCCAGTTTATGTACAAGTTCAGCCACTTTGTACAGTAAAGGGGCGGGTGCAAATCTATCTTGTATTCCTTTTTTTTAATCATTCGAATGTATAAGGAGAAAATCAATTAAAACTAACTGGGAAAATCAATAGTAAATCTGAAAACTAGAATACAGAAATGAATCTGAGATTGAATTTGGTTTCTGTATGAATATTATATAAAAAACTCATATGACATCCAATAGGAGTATTGAAATACCTGGGTGGGATTGATTTATATGCATGAAAGATCTGGCAAAATCTAATGGAGGCATTCAACAATCTATCATCCTTCCTCATCAACAACAATGTTTTTAGGAACGAGATGTCAACCTGATACATTATAAAAAATATATTAACGAGATTTCATACAATGGATGCATTATATTTTCATGTCCTGCATACCACAAACAACATTGAATGTTAAACCATCTGCAAACAAAAAAAGAACTATTCTAATAGAACAAAAAGTAGTAGCAAGGGATATTAGAATTTAGAAGGACAATTGACATTCACACCTTAAACTGTTTTTTGTTAGGTGAGTAGTAGCAATGTCATATTGTCTATGTTGAAATCACCTTTAATGGGTACTTTATGGTTCAAGTGGATTGGTATAAAAAGATTTCTTAGTAAACCACTACAAGAACTTTTTAATAATCACTTGATAAGGCATCCTGAATGTCTTTTTACTCCTCTTCAACGAGTAGGCAGGGGAGGATGACAGAGGACGCAGCCGTGCAGGACGGGACTCGAGAGCGGGGCGAGGCGCAGTTGAATAAATACGCGTCTATTTGTCTTCTCATTTGCCTTGTTCAGAAGTAAACAAATTAAATCAAATCTGAAAAAGATAAGTGCAAAAAAATGAGACTTCAGTGTGAAGTACAAAAACAACACACTTTTACTCTTACACTCCAGTTTCAAGTTTGGAGAAATGATGTGAAACCTTTTAAATGCAGTCTGATAGGGGAAAAAAGCAAGAGTAGAAAACCACACGCTCAGAATACAATAATGTCAAGAATTATACCAGGACAACATGGAGAACATTAATATCTCCTCTAAAGTTTGCACCAGATGCTAATTTCGAAGCATTGACACCAAAAAGCTACATATATCATAAGTAGATCTATATAATTGATATTGTCATTTAAAAGATGCTTTTACATTTTAAAATAAAAGCCAAATTGGTCAGGTATGCATTACTTGACAAAGAGAGCCTTTCTGGACAACATCCAACTCTTTTATAGTTGGGGCTAGGGATCTGGTTAACCTTTCATATATATCAAGCTGCTTAGACAATTCCTTCAGCTGCTCGGTCTGATCTCAAGGCATGCATTATAAGCAAAAGCATATGTATCATTATTGTCCACTACTTTAAGTCAAAGAAGTAGGTAATACCTAGCTATAGAAGGTTTCATAAAGCAAAAGCAACTTTAACTAAGTTGCATCCAAAATATAGAAAGCAATAATATTGATATATGATGTTTAATGAAATTAGTTAATCAGTATAGATATGATCATATGAACCAAGTTAACCTAATCATTTCAATGTTTGAGCTATTTTGTTGTCTATTATCAAATACTCAAGTTAAAAAGTATAAATAGCAGATGCAGTTAAATAAAAAATTTCTCCCTTTTTTTCCCCAACCTGAGCAAGCGGATGGACTTCGTGTTATAATTTTAGCAATATTTTAGCAATATTTTCCCATCTTCTTGTTATATTTTATGAATGAAATGCTAATTGCATTAGAGTCACCTTGAGATCAAAGTCAACGAAATCTGCTCCAAGTTCTCTAGCTAGACAAAGAGTTTCAAGTTGCTTGTCAATTTGAAATCATCATCATCATCATCACATTCAATGTAAGCACCTTCCCATATTGGTCTGAAGCTCAATAAACAACAATTTCAGCATCTCATGTCATGAAAAAATATATATAAGAAACTAATTGTCCATGGACGGACTCCAATTCTCTGTACCAGCGTGCAGGCAGCCATGCATTCTTCTGCAGTCCATCCACTTGCTCAGGTTGTGGAGAAAAGTCACGAGGTACGGTGGAGGAAGTCGTGAAGACGGCGGAGGGCAGCCGCCTAGCCGCTATCCATTAGTTTAACAATTAAATGTTAAAAGGGCATTGTATAGTAAGCTTAATAACTTCCAGTTTCTCTGCTCCCAAAGTAAATGCGAACAAACATTAGTGTAAACTATTCAAGAATTTTAACAAATACGTGATATGCATAAGAACATAGTAGACATAAAAGCAAACTCAAATAAACCATTTAGACGTAGACATGAAGAGTATTCAAGGAGTTAATGATATAACTACAAACATAGACATGAAGAGAATCTCAGATGTAACTAGCAGTTCACTCAGTAGTGGACTCTGGTATTGAATAAAATCTCAATCAATTACATACCTAAAAGTTCGCTCGGTAATAAGAATGTTGGGAGCTTAGATGACTACTGCTTGACCAGGGAGAAAATATCTGGCCGAGAATGCAAGAAGGGGATAGGGTTAAGATGAGAGAGGGTTCTGAGGAGACGAGTGTCGACATCATCCAACTGTCTAGGCCAACCATCCGCCGGCGTATATGTACTCCAGCAGTTGACCCCGCCCCCAATTGGTGAGGAACCCTAGCAAAGGAAACGACGACCCTATCCCTGTCACGTCCGGCAATCACACGCGCACGTAGCAGAGGAAACGCCATCGATTGGATATGAAGTTTCTCATATGCAGAAATAGTGGTAGAAGGTGGAGGAGTAATGACCGGCGGTCAATTCGCAGAAAGAAATTACTTGTAGATGGTAGAGCAGATGCAGTCACAAGACATGGCCAAGAAAAGTTGAAGGAAAGCTGAAACAGGAGAGAGAAAAAATTAAGTGTATTACTCCATATAATAAACTCTGGGCCGGCCCATAACTAATATGAACAGTGACGCGCGTTTATAATTATACTCCGTAAATAATGTAGGAGTGTCACTAAGTGATACTAATGCATTTTTGTTACAAAACAGCGACACTTTGATGTCAGTGGTGACATTTTATCAGAAAGTGTCACTATAATAGTGTCACTGTAAGCCATTTTTCTAGTAGTGTTTATTGCTAATATTATTATTAATAATATATTATTATTATGCTATTATAACTATTATTAAACGAATGTATTTGCTTAGCATTTGAATGGAATATGTTGATATTCTTATTTGTAGTATAATCAAATCTATAGAATTAGTATTCTTATTTCATTTGATTTTTTCGAATTCGAATTGTCTTTTATTATATAAATTTGAATCCGAGCATAAATTATTGAGAATATTACCCAAAATAGGACAAACGATTTGAAAATTCCAAAATACAATTGTCATGTTTTAATTCCCAAAATATTACTAATTGCTGTCATGTTTTGGCAGTACCAGACTTTAAACATTACAATATTTTATAAACTTGGCAGTAATTACTCCTATTTTGAGAATAAAAAACATGATAGTTCTATTTTAAAATTTTCAAACGGTTTTAGTCCTATTTCAGGAACTTTCCCATAAATTATTGTATTAGTATATAAACCTAAGGATGACGAGTTGATAAAACAACATCAACAAAATAATACTCGGACCATTTAACATGACTAGGTCAAGTAATTATTACCGATGAAAAATAGAAAACACACCGTGGCTTTTACGTTTGGACTTTCGAGTGATGCCGGTCATAAACAATGCGGCGTTTTTGGGTCCCACTTTGATGATTATTGAAAAAAAATAGATTACTAGTATATCGTATCTTCGTTCACATGACTAATCAAAATCTTGTAATTGAATTATTTATGTTTAAATTAAAAATGATATAATTATTTGGACTAATCAAATGAATTGTAGGTACGTTATCCCATTTCTTAAATGGGTATCCCAATTCTCACAAAAAAAAAGCAAAAAGACTACACTAAGAACAAGAGCAGGTACGTAGTTGAGAAGCACTATGTATTTAAGTACTCCTTAAACGATAAACAAAAAAATAATCTTCGCTACCTTATATAGCACTAAAGATCGATTATATTATATACGGAGTATATATATAATTATATATTCCTACTACAGCTGAAAATGGATGGTGATTATGAAGCGTACAGAAGGCGACGTGCAAAGATCTGCTGCTCTATTTTAAAAATATTCCTAGTGGTGGGTATTGTATCCTTGGGTATTGGAGTACTACTGAATCACTTAGATAATGTTCAACACCCCAATCCTAAAGCTCCGGCCTACTCCGTACTGGACGTGCCCTTAACAACCAACGACACCGGCTTCACCGGCGGCAACATCAACATCATCCTCAACGCCCGCAACCAAAACAAGAAAAAAACCAACGACTACGGCACCTCGGAAGCATTGCTCTACTTCGGGGATGCCGCAGTCGCACTGTGGCTGGTTGCGAACGCCACATCGCCAGCGTTTTTCCAGCCTCCCCTAGCATCCACTAACCTCACCCTCACCTTTCCTGCACCCGCGGTGGAGGCCCTTGGGGACCGCTCCACCGCGGTCATAAAGATGAAGGCTCAAATTCGGTCCAGCAGCAAAAAGGAGTATGGGTGGCATCAGGTCTCGTGCACTTTGCCCTACTCTTCCCGGCTGCACGGTTTCGATGTTTCCGGCAAGTGTGACGTATTCTACCAACCACCTCAAATTTGCGGGATACAGCCCAAGTTTGTACATTATAACTTCCTTATTAATATCATCCCTTCCCATTAATCTTTCATTTCCACTACAGCAGATGGATTTTTTATGCAGCCATCGTGCGCCTTGTGATTTAATGAAAACTTTGAAATATAATTGTGAAAACTAGAAAGACGAGAGAATTTCCGAGCGAAAAAACGTTTTGAAATTTAAAAATAGGATTATCATATTTTTTTTATTCCCAGAATAAGAGTAAGTTCTGTCAAGTTTGACATTAATAGGCTTTAAACATCACATTTTTTTACCCTTGACCGGGTTGACTCTCCGGGTCCGGGTTGACTCTTGACCCAACAACTTATCCGGGTCGCCTCCGGGTCTAGTTCTTTAAACATAGAATTAAAAAAAAAGGAATTATAATTAATCACTTTTCAGATATGGTGAATTGAAATAGTTGAACCTCACTTGAAGTGATATTTTGATTTAAATTATCATTTAGTTAGTTATCATTCAAAAACTCTCATTTTGGAGAAACTAAACAATTGAGCTTTATTACCAAAAAAAAAAAAAAAAAAAACAATTGAGCTTTTGAGAGCTTTTGAAGGGTCACAAAAATCTTTCAAACTCCCAAACACAAATATATAGGAGGGTCAGCAAACCTCACATGTCTTCCCTTCCATCCCAAAAACTAACTCTCATCCCAAACACACCCTAAGAGTATGTTTGATGAATTCAAATACTTAGACTAATATTCATTTTAAATTGAATTAAAGTTATAATTATTTAACTATCCTTCAAAATCACTCATTTTAGAGAAATTTAATAATTAAGTATTTGAGGAGTCACGGAGTCACAAAAACCTTTCAAAACTATTTTTTCTCTTCCTTCTAAAAAACCAACTCCCAAACACACCTTAAGACGGTAATGATTGCACAGGGAAAATGGTGCAATCTAGTAGCTCATACTATCTATATGCGTTACTATTCAATGTTAAAATAGCGCGATTTTATTATAATTGTTCTTAATTGGTCAATTTGTTTATGTTATCATGTAATGCAGGAACAGAGCGAAATATTGTATCGATGATGATTCTTAATTGTTTAGAGGAGTACGTGTATAATAATCAACTCAGGAACTATCAATTTATACACTGTATTTATTTGATATTAATTCTTGTTGTTGCTGTATTTTGCCATTTACGAACAATGTTTCCCCGATTTTCCTAGTTGTATTTGGCATTATAGTTTTGTCATAATTTTATAATTATATATGCAGTATTAATCTTATACGTAGTGTTTATTTATACTCTCCCCCATTATGAAATTGACTTCTTAATTGATCTTCACGCGGTTTTAAATAGAAAAAAGTAAAAGTTTACTTTTGAAAATCACCTTTGGTATAGTAAAACGAGGTAATATGTTTGATATGTGAAGGGTTAGAGTTTGTTTTTGAAAATTACATTTGTTTTTGGAAGAAGGACAATAAGTTTACTTAAATTGATATCACAACATTAGCTTTCAGATAAGGAGTTAAACGACAAAAGGACAACAGACAACCGCCAGCCCTCAAATCAGATTTAGACTCAATCACCTTCAAAAAAGTAATATAACTCGTTGATCCTATAATGGGCATAAATGAGCCAAAGACGGTTAATGCAGACCTCCCATCACCCAATCCTAATGCAAGAGTCTAATAATAATAAAAGTAACCTACAGAAAAATAAGCAGTCTGAACAGGAAAAATAAATTGCAAACAGTAAAATTAAAAAGACGCTTCCAAACCCTAGACTCTCCTGCACTCCACGGCGGCGGTTCAGGAGGGAGACGATCCAGCAGTACTGTTGCTTCTTTCTCACCTTGCCTCTTCTTCATCATGTTTTCTACCAAAGCCTGAAACTTGATTTTTCGATCCGTGATAACAACTCCCACCACCGGAAATTCAGCCCTCTTCTCGGTTGCGTCAAGGTCTCTGTCAACCTCGTCATCAAAATTCAGCCCGCTGTCCTCTCCGATTGCCATCTTCTTGTATCGATACACGAAATCTTTCATCAAATATCATCGAAGCAAAACACAAATACAATGCCTTCGGTCTTCGATCTGCCCCTTCCGTCGCCAAAGAGAAACACTGCCTTCGGTCATCTACCTTTGTCCGCCGAACTCTTGAAACGAAACAATCTTCTTTAACCTTCGCCTGAAATCTCCTCGCTCCAGCCCGGTAAAAACGTCGCACACCGCCGTTCTTCGTCTAAGACGAAAATGGAAAATCCAAAGCTACCCTAGGACCTAAACCCGGCCTAGTGCAAAAATTGAAGGGTTAGAGTTCTATTTTTTTTAGCAGAAGTCAATTATGTGAGAAGACTGAGTTGGGCTATGATGATACCATAATAGTGAATAGTTTGGTGATAAAAGTGAGGAAAAGTGTAAATATACCCTTGAAATATATGTACAAGTAGATATATGTGTAAATATATACTACGTATTTAAGAATATCAAGAAAATAGACGACTTATTGCTTCGAGGATTAAAACATCTGCAAGCAATGGCCGCTAGTGGACATATTAGGATGCTGCGTAACACGTCTGCTGATGATCAAAATGATCCTTATAAAATTTGCAGTGATATGAAGATACACTCAAAACCTTTGATCATTGGGATCAAATCAGTGGTAATTCATACATGCACAAAGACAAAGTATCCAATCTTAGAATTTGAAAGGCAGAATTGAGTGATTAAAAAAGTTTCTGAAGCTGATTTTCCATATGTTGTTCCAAGAGATTTGATACAGCTACTCTAGGTATACATAACTGTGAGAATTAGAGACTTTCCTAAAGACGACAGAGAACTTGGTCTCAATGCCGTAAAGAGATACATGCTGCGAAAAGTCAAATACTATTCTTTGGTCGATTTGCAAATGTATTGAGAGCCACTTGAACAAAGTCAAAACAAAGTCAATTTAACTGCTGTGAGAAATACCGGCTCATGGATAGAAGATTTTGAAGAAGGCGAAATCATCGCGAATCATGAACCTGGGATGATCTATAGAATTACAACGGCGTAAAGCGTATCCTACTTTATAGAAGAAATTCATAAATATTATGATGGAACGCTTCGTACGTAGTATTGAAGATCTTGCTAATGAGTGTGCAAAGAAGTTTCTCAAATCTGATCAATCTGAAGATCCAACTCAGACCACCCTCATTGATGATTTTGCTACAGCTGTTAGCCTACGACTAGAATTCAGAAGAAATATAACAGAATATGAAGTCATTCTAGGCTACAGAAAGTCGATATACAAGACTCAAATATAATATGTTCTTCATCGATATTTGAATGATTGTTAGAACATTATTATTGTGTTCAAATTAATTGTAATTATCTTTGATTAATTAGTCAAGTATTAGCATGCCTTTTAGTTGAGAGAGAAGTGAGCCTTTTAATTAGCAGCCCATGCGCTCCTACCCGTTCTAATTGTACTAGGATGCTCGAATTCTATTGTATAAATAAAGACAGAGGAGTTTGAACAACCTAAGTCTCTACACGCTAAATTCCGTACATATTATTCTGATAGAGCACCTCTCTACTTTTTCTCTCTCAACAGTGCATAGGTATATCATGTATTATTGTGATATCATTATGAATATACAATATTGATTGTTGATTGATTATTCTTCTTCTACACAATTTTTCCATATTATTATTTAGAAGCTATTCGACTGTTAATCTGGGAATTAACAAAATTGTTTGGCGCTTAGGTGATTTAGTCGACCGCATAGGGCGCCTAATTGCCCACCCAGACCGCCTAATCGCCGCCTAGGGCGTCTAGATTGCCAACCAACTTTTTTTTTAATTATCTTTTTGTAAAAAATTGATGTACCTTTAACTTTAATCACAATTTAATATGAAGAAGGATACTTGTAAATTAAGTGATTAGTTATCATATCTAATTGCATATGACAATTCGATCATGCATGCATGTTAATATGTGTGTGTGTGAATTTTTCACACACACAAATACAATACTACTGTTTTACTATGTACTACCTCCGTCCCCCTAAGTTTGGGACAAGAGAAGGTGACACGGTTATTAATAAAAGTGGGTTTATGTGGTTGATATTGAATTGATAAAGTAAGAATAAAGTAGGAATGATTTAGAACCACACAAACTTTACCAAGGTATGGGACAATCTTAGTGGGACGGACCGAAATGGTCAAATGGGACAATCATAGCGGGACGGAGGGAGTATTACTTATCATATTTATACAAAAATATATGTATCTTTGACTAATCGCCGCCTGGACGCTCGTTTAGCCGCCTAGGTGCTAGGCGCTAGGCTGACGTTCGACTAGCGCCTAGCGCCTAGCGCCTTTTAGAACATTACTATTTTGTTAAAGTTCGTAGGCCTAATTGAGTGTTTTTATGTTCGACAGCTTGATAGACTTTTTTTATTTACTACGGAGGCCTATTTGACAGGTTTGCTTAAATATTTTATGTGTAAAGTTAGTTTTTGAGCAAACATTGTAAAGAGTTGCGTGAAATTCAAAAATAAATTACATGGGTAACCAAATGATGTATCTTTATTTTATATGCAAACCTTTTTTTTGCGAGGTACATGCGAACCATTTTACTGCCCTAAACTTTATGGGCCTGTTTCATAGTTTACACATTAAAATTTTACATGCAATGTGATTGCATGTAAAGTTTAGGGACGTAAAATAGTTTGCATGTAAAATACAAATATATCGTTTGGCAATGTGTGCAATCAGTTTTTAAAGGGAAAACTATCAAATAAGTCCTCAAACATACATAAAAAGTGCAAATCACCCCTTATAAATGAAGTTTTGGCCGGCCGGCGCCATTTGGGGCGGTTCCCGGTCGAATTGTTTGATGAAAATTTTTGAACATCTTATTCATTAAGTCTAGTTTACTTATACCAAATTTCAGCTAAAAATTCAATCAGGAAGGCAGTCAAATGATTTTTTGAAGATAGCTGCGCAGTTAAACAGCGCGCGCAGTATATTTCAGAAAATCATTTGACTGCCTTCACGGTTGAACTTTAAGCTGAAATTTGGTGTGAGTAAACCAGACTTAATGAAGAAGATGCTCAAAATATTTCATCAAAAATTCTACCGGGAACCGCCCCTGTAACACTTGAGATTTAATATAAATGGATTAATAGTACTACTCATACCAACAGAGATGCATCTCCTTTTAAGGGAGCTCATCGCCCAAAAACTGCAAAGTTAAGCGTGCTTGCACGGGAGTAATCTTGGGATGGGTGACCCCCTGGGAAGTTTCTCAGGGCGCGCATGAGTGAGGACAAAGTGCGCGGTAAAGGCTCGTGGTGGTTTGTGGGGACAGTACTATTGGTCCGGAGTAACTACCTCGGCTCCCACGGGGCCGAGGTGTTACAGGTGGTATCAGAGCAACCCTGCGACAGTGTGCTGATCCGTTGGATATCGGGCTGACACCTAGCAGGGGAAAAATTTCTGGGATTTGATTGAGATTGGTTTAAGGGCGCAACGAGGACGTTGCGATCCTAAGTGGGGGTGATTGTAACACTTGAGATTTAATATAAACGGATTAATAGTAATACTCATACCAACAGAGATGCATCTCCTTTTAAGGGAGCTCATCACCTAAGAACTCCAAAGTTAAGCGTGCTTGCACGGGAGTAGTCTTGGGATGGGTGACCCCCTGGGAAGTTTCTCAGGGCGCGCATGAGTGAGGACAAAGTGCGCAGTAAAGGCTCGTGGTGGTTTGCGGGAACAGTACTATTGTAACACTTGAGATTTAATATAAACGGATTAATAGTACTACTCATACCAACAGAGATGCATCTCCTTTTAAGGGAGCTCATCACCCAAGAACTCCAAAGTTAAGCTTGCTTGCACGGGAGTAGTCTTGGGATGGGTGACCCCCTGGGAAGTTTCTCAGGGCGCGCATGAGTGAGGACAAAGTGTGCGGTAAGGCTCGTGGTGGTTTGTGGGGACAGTACTATTGTAACACTTGAGATTTAATATAAACGGATTAATAGTACTACTCATACCAACAGAGATGCATCTTCTTTTAAGGGAGCTCATCACCCAAGAACTCCAAAGTTAAGCGTGCTTGCACGGGAGTAGTCTTGGGATGGGTGACCCCCTGGGAAGTTTCTCAGGGCGCGCATGAGTGAGGACAAAGTGCGCGGTAAAGGCTCGTGGTGGTTTGTGGGGACAGTACTATTGGTCCGGAGTTACTACCTCGGGTCCGGTGGGGCCGAG